TCCCTACACCAGTACACACAGGACCAGAGGAGAGTCCTCCCCATGTCTCTGTCACAGTCCCTACACCAGTACACACAGGACCAGAGGAGAGTCCTACCCATGTCTCTGTCACAGTCCCTATACCAATGCACACAGGACCACTGGAGAGTCCTCACCATGTCTCTGTCACGGTCCCTACACCAGTGCACACAGGAGAGTCCTCCCCATGTCCCTGTCATGGTCCCTACACCAGTGCACACAGGACTCATGGGGGAGCTGAAGATCTTCAAGAAGTGTTAATTGTCTTTCATTTAGGTGTGGTTAGCACAAGTAAGTCATTACGAACAGAGAGCGAAACAGTGGCATAAAAATCTGTCGTTCACTGTGGCACTCCTGGACCAGAGACCTGCACGACTGGGTTAAACTATTATTGGTCCGCATGGACCTGCGAGCTCTTTCCCCAAAACGCGAATGCTTTCTGAAGGAGACAGGTTGTTGAACGAGCTGCAGTACTCTCTCCTAACATCACCTGGCTTCCTCCGTGATCTGCATTTCGGGATCTCTAGTAACCACGCCTCTCCTTTAGCCTTATCCCGGCCCAGATCCCAACAGTGGTGGACGTGGGCTGTGAAGTGGCTGAGCAATCAGCTCAACACGCTTGTAACAACAAGAGAGTACGAGCGACATCTTAACAGAATCGCCTCGTCTTAGAGAGCAAGTGCTGCTGTTCCGAAATGACTGAGCGGGTGTGTTCCCGGCTCCCCTGTGACGAGCCGATGCTGTGTGATTAAAGAGAAGAAAGCAGTTGCTGTCGCCTGTCTTTATCAACTCAGTTCTGACTCTCACGTCTCTCCAGGCAGAGGGGACACACATGCAGTATTAAGATAAGATTTAATTGTCCCCTGAGGGAAATTTATTTTATGGACACACAGCACTCCTGTACATTTAAATAGAATGCAAACCAAAAAAAAAGAAGAAGAAAAGAAAAACATTGCACATTATTCTAATACAAAAAAATAAGAAAAATATTGCACATCACTCTGTTCTGTTGTACTCCTGTAGTATTCTGATAGGAGCCAACAGCAGCGCTCTCCCTGCTGCAGAAGTGCCGGGGGCAGGGAGAGGCTAGGGGAGCAGAGGGACTCTGAGCCATTGCAAAACCATTTTGGCCGCTCCGACACATTTCTGCAATTTCGGAAGGAGAAAAGAAAACAAACTTTAAAAACAGAGGGAGAGACCTTTTGCCAAGAGCACTTCTTCCTTATTTACAGAAACAGGGCGGATTTGGAGATGGCTGTTTTGGTTCATCAGATCTCTGGGATTGCCTCCGCCCCCCCTGTGGTTTTATGTGATGGATTTCTGTGTTTCTTTTCATCCCAGTTGCTCTCCTTCAAAACAGCTCCTAAGGCATGACCCCCAGGGTCTCCTCGCCAGCAAACATGCGGACATGTGGGCCGGCTCCGCGGAAGGGTGTGGGTCAGGACGCGGGGCGGCGGGAGAGACGCGGAGTCAGCCAGACAGGGGCGAGGCTGGGGACACCAAGGGGTCAGAGGGGCTGTGTGTGTGGGGGGTTTAAACTTACCTCCCCTCCCCAACCCGAGCCCCTGGGGGAGAGAGAGGGGTGCAGCAGGAAAAGGGTGTGGTGCATCGTGGAAAATTCCAGCAACCACAAAGAATCTGTCCCTGCATTCCCTCCGGATCTGGCAGAGAGTGGATGCTGGCGTGTTGACAGTGACTTTATGGGGACTTTAGGGGTTTCACAGACTTGGTTCCCAGAAAGCAACAGTGCTGGCAGCCCTCTGTTCTTAATTATTCTAATCGATTGACTTGTTTTCTCAGATGAACATTATTCACGTACGTCATGTATATGTTTCCCCCAGAGCACATACAGTTCATTCGGCGGGGCGGGGTGGCGGGGGAGCAGCATCTTAATAAACATGTTCTGACCGGGAGTGAAGCATTACCGTTATCTCATTAATCCATCAAGTTGATCCAATTAAGTAATTGAGAACTCAGAGGGAACAAAAGCCAAAAGCCCTCTAGCCCCTCCAGGAACAGGAGGCAGGACACAGTGACACAGAGGGCTGCAGCCACAAGCCCATTATATTTTGTGCACTCTGACTGTAGTTAAAAACCAGCGGCTTTCCTTTTTAATCTCACACAGTGGTGTGAATTGAGTAAACCAATGTGAGGGTCAGAGTTGCTATCTACAACCAGCCAAGTCACTTGATAGATAATTAAGGAGAACTGTTTTAATGTGGGGCGTCAGGGTGATGCAGTGGTTAACATTGCTGGTGCCCTGGGTTCATTTCTGGCCCTGGGGTGCTGTCTGTGTGGAGTTTGTATGTTCTCTCCTTGTTTTTCCTCCCACCATCCAAATACATGCTGGTAGATTAATTGGCTCCTGGGACAATCAACCCTGGTGTGAGTGTGTGTGTTTGTGCGTGTCCTGCTCCACCTGTTTTAAGCCTCCTGACAGGAGAGTCTGAGACATGAGGACGCACTACTGAATTCATACTCAGGTACACCAGATCACACGAACTCACTCTCGCGGACGCTGGGACATGCATGTTGGGTCTCCAGATGCAGGAGTCCGATTTTCATCACTTTCCTTGGCCACAATAAATTCCCAGATCCCAGTCTTAACTAAAGCAGTGTTCCCACCTTACAGCCCAATCTCATCAGATCTCAAAAACTAAGATCAATACTGGGATCTCCATGAAATCCTGCCTGGGGAATGGGATTGGGCTGCGGATATCTCAGATGCTTGTGGAATGCTCTCTCACAGTGCTACTCACGGAGGACTGTTATTTTATTCACTGGAGGTAGTTTGGCCAGAGAATGGGTGCCAGAACATGTCTGTGTCTGAGCCTGCAAGCCTGAGGATTTTCACCACAGCTGTGTGTGTGTGGGACTGTGTGTTGAACAGTATCTGTGCTCCGATCCTCTGGAGATGAACTGCGCAGTTTTCTGCTGTGTTCAGCCATACTTTCCCCACAGCTCTGGTTGTGCTGTACTCTTGCATACTGCTATGTGCCCTCTCTCATGGTTTTGCGCTAATCTGACTTTCTTGTACAACATCTTAATCTGACTGCTCCCTGGTTTTCCTGCTTTACTGCATCTTAATTTGATTTTACCACAGTTTTACTGTGATTTACTACATTTTAAACTGACGTTACCCTGGTTTGCCTGCTATATTACATTTCAATTTAACTTTATCCTGATTTTGCTGCTTTACTGCATTTCAATTAGAATTCACCCAGAATTCCCTGCTTTACTTTATTTTAATCTGAATTCACCCTCCTGTGCCATGTGGCAGGACATTCTGGCAAATCCTTATAAATTTGTGTGTTAGTCGCTCGATGTGTGCGCGTTTTGTGGGTGTGTCAATCTGTGAATCTTTGTGTGAGTGTACATCCGGACACGGGGCCCGAGAGCCCAGTCCATTCTATAATTCATCAGCTCTTCATTAATGCTGCAGGAGGGTGGCATAGCGTTTCACCTGCTCTTTAATCATTGACGAAGAGGAGCGGAGGGGGCTGGGGTTGTTGGTGGGGACAGGGCTTCTGGTTTCGTCAGCGGCTTGCTGCTCAGGTCAGGAAGCAGACTAGACTGACAAAGTTAATTAACCCCTTGCTCACCTGTACAGTGCCAGTCCTGCTGCAAAATTATATAAAGCTCTCTGAGTTTGATCACAAGTTCTCCCTGTGCTGCCCCTCGTTCTCCCTGTGCGACACCTTTTTCTCCCTGTGCGACACCTTGTTCTCCCTATGCTGCTCCTTGTTCTCCCTGTGCTGCTCCTCGTTCTCCCTGTGCAACGCCTTGTTCTCCCTGTGCTGCCCCTTGTTCTCCCTGTGCGACACCTCATTCTCCCTGTGCGACATCTCGTTCTCCCTGTGCAACACCTTGGTCTCTCTGTGCTGTTCCTCATTCTCCCTGTGCAACACCCCTTTCTCCCTATGCAACACCTCGTTCTCTCTTTGCAACACCCCATTCTCCCTGTGCGACACCCTGTTCTCCCTGTGCGACACTCCGTTCTCCCTGTGCGACACCCCGTTCTCCCTGTGCAACACCCCGTTCTCCCTGTGCAACACCCCGTTCTCCCTGTGCGACACCCCGTTCTCCCT